CGAAGCAAACGGTCACAGAACGCGTTCGGAACGCACGGTGCGAACGCGTTCGGAACGAGTAGATCGGAACGTGTTCGCGCGTTCCGAACGCGTTCGCACCGTGCGTTCCGAACGTGTTCGCCATGACGTTCGTTGTAGTCACGAACACTCATTTTATTGGGTCATATAATACACCAATCAATATCTTTACCACGATTTTCAATGCTTTTTATTCATGTTCTCAATAAATTAAACAATAGTGTTCAAATAAACGATATCATTTTGATCGTGAAGTATTTTCATCTTCACTATAGAACAAAAAAAGTACTATAGACAAATACGAAAATAAAAACAAAAAAAAAAAGAATGAGACGAAGTTCACAGTAAAATAGTATCAAAACAATAATCACAGTTTCGAAGACGTAAATGATGAGACAAAGATTAGATAGAAAGAATTTCATAACATACCAAAAGTTAAACTAATTTATACATAATACATTTTTCCAGTCCACAAAATACATAAAAAAATATTCTTTCAATTTAATTTGATCAAATTTATAATAAATGTTACTTCTAGAAGTTATAATTATTGATTATCATCATTAACTGTTGTTTTATCTGTTGTTGTTTGTGTATTTGTTTGTGTTTCATCTTCAGCTCTAAAATAAGACCAGGATCGAACTAAATCAACAAAATTATTAGTAAGTCATACCGTAGTTTATGTCGATGTAAACGTCCTCGACGCTGATTTTCACGAACAATTTTTCCATGACCATCCCAGAACAAATCAACTGCATCTTGATCACCTTGATAAAAATATGCTTGAATTGCTTCTGAAATCATTAAATGAATATAATGATAAGAATAATGTATTACAATTAGCTCACCTTGTATTTTTAATGTTCGTTCATTAATCTGTTCATGTTGACGATTTCTTATTTCTTGTTCAGTAAACAATTTGTTGATCAAGTGTTTCATTAGACCAGGTGGAGTTGGATCGAATGGACCCAATAGTAAATTTGTATTATTATATTTCTAAAACAGGAAAATCATCAGGAAAAAGTTTATGAAAAAACTTACAACAATAGGAATTTCTTTTGGTGGTTCTTGTACTGCTGGATACTAAATAAAAAAAAAAAGATTTTGTCCTTCTCATATATATTCGAATGATGTCTATTTTAATTAAAATTTTTATATGTTTAGTGCACATTAGTCAAAGCCTCCAAATATGTATAAAATTGTACAACAGCAAAAGATGCAACACTCGTTCAATCCTATTCCAAATTTTTAACAGATTTTTGATAATTAACTTTACGTTTTATTTTATTCATGTGTCCCTTACCATGCTAATCTTGAATTATGGTAAAAATCTTTTTCAAAAATACTTTTAGTCAAAGAAACATTGAAAAGGCTCATATAAAGATAAATAAAATTACCTCACGTGCTTTACGAACTAAACCATTAATGTGCTTGTCCATATGATCGAGTTTTTTCTCAAAAAGTTCTTCTTTTTGGTTGATCACGTCGATCTTTCGATTCATTTCTTTAAGCATACTTTGCATGGTATCCATACATTCTTTAAGTGAATCAGGAACAACACTTGTAACTTGATCTTGAGCACGTTTACGTTTTGTTTGAGGTGTATAAGTACCTTAAAAGCAACAAAGTATGATAATGTACAAATTTTTCTTTACCTGTAGTTTTTTTATTGCTTCGATATGGAACAGATGGTCGAGGTTGCTGTTGACTATAAAATGGCACATCATGAATAATTGGATAATCTACAATGAGGTGCATAAGACTTATAGAAACATTTATGAATGTGATTTACTTTCATCAAATTCATTTTCAATTGTTTCATCATCATCATCATCATCATCAATGAATACAGGTTGAGTATTTGATGTACCATGTGGAAATTTTCGTATTCGACCGGGAGTAATTGAACTATTAGTTGTGATTCTTGACATTAATTATTTCAATCTGAAAAAATGACCTAGAAATTATGAAAATAAATTATGGTAACGCATTTGGTTACTCGTATTAAATGAATAAGTTTTTAGAAATCAATAATATCTAGAAAAAAAATAGAAGTGTTAGATTTAGACTTTATAATTCAATCATGTTCTGTTTCAAATTCAACTTCTGTACAGATAGTAAAATAATTATCGAGTTGAAATGAAATACATTTAGATTTTATACATGAGCACGAATAAATGACTAGTTCATATCTAGAATGTCGAACAATCGGGTAATATCTATCAATATATGTGTTCCAACCTGGAATATCTTCAATTGGTTTTAGTAGAGAAGAGAATGTATTTTTCGAATTGAGATACCGTTTAAAAAAGAAAAATGGTTTGTTGTGCACGTAAAAAAAGAATATAATTTGCCCATAATATAAAATTGATTTCATGGAATTACTTTCATCTTTAACACATACAGTATAACTGTTAGAATTTTGACGTCGACTATATGATACCGAATGATAAACAATTAAACCACACTGGTATCTAGAATAATATTTTAATGATAAATTAGGAAATTCACCAAATGTTTGATTATAAACCAAGTCGAATTCTTGACGATATTTTTCTAAATTGTTAAAATCAAAAAAGTTATCCTCGATTAGTTTTTCATCAATTAATAAATGATGACTATAATGTGTTTCTTTTGAACGTATCTGACGAAATACACACCACCAAAATGATATTTGTTCACCTAAGATTACAGAACCATGTGCGATTTTGTCAAAGATTTGTAAACAACTTTCCGATGCGAATAAGCTATAAAAAGTGGATAGAACTTAAAACAGACTAGTATATGTATTTTAAAGATAGGCTACTTGCCTATGATAAGCTAAGCCACCGTGTTGTTGTACTTGTTGCCATAAGTGAATTAGAACGTGCACGGATAATAATTCTTTACATGGATCATAAATAAACGAAAAATGATTTAGATAAAAATGTATATATCTTGGCATTTTTCTTATTTCATCACGATCATCAAAATGACGCAAAACACGTATGTAAATGAATAAAAGAACAAAATGGGATATGTATACTTGAGGAAAACAATTTGACACATTCAAGCATAACTTAACTAATAAAGGTAAAACTATATATATCATAAAGCATCTTAATTGGGATGCTTTCCACTTAACACAATTCATAAAGTCTAGAGGACGACGATGAAATGTATGTGGATAACTAATATCAACGAGACAATCATTAATAAAATTTAATGCTAATGTATTTTTCTTTATAATATTGCACCATTCTGATAATTAATATCTAACACACATGTATGAAATGATATTTAAGAGAGATACTCGGTCAATTGTCACTCACCGAAAGTGTATTTCAAGTACTAAATGAAAATAATCAAATGTTGATTGTTGAGGTATCGATAATATGGAAGCAAGTGGTGAAGTTCCAACAACACCGAATACAATTTTATTAACAGAATTAATCTGTTGAGCACATAAATTCATGTGCTCTTGAGTTCGTTGTGCTTGTGGTGTTAGAATAAAATCTGTCCATCTGTAAAGTGTATGATTACCACAAGGTGATGAACAACGTGTTCCTTCAAAAAGACACCTTGAACACGCATAAAATCCATTATGATTTACAAGACGGTTGCATTTGGACCGTGCCGGAAAATCACCCGTAATTAATTGAACATTTATTGAAAAATGAATCATTTCTTTAATAAACAATTTTAAAAGTATTTAAAAGAAAGAATTTACTTACTATTATTTAAATAGATATTTATACCGGTTGCCATTAAAAGCTTGATATTGTTTACTATTTTATCTAATAACAATGAACATGGTGGTGTTACAGGTGAATGCCATAGTCCGAGTAAAACTATATTATTAAAATATTCACGTAATGGAGGAGGTATCTCGACCAAAAATGAAATCACCTGTAGAACACAAATGAAATTGTTCAGATCAAATAAATTAAGTACTACTTACAGGCCACACACTAGTTTTACTTTGTTTTGATTTAATTAGAGGCTTACCATCAGTGCTTAACATTAAACTTAAACGAGGTTCACCTGTGTTACTTCGTTTGTACCACTCACCTGAAAATAAAATAGTTTTAGTGTATGTTTCTGTGAAAGTGCAACCACATGTGACTTACCATTCACAATATCAGCATTTATTTGATGGTCAGGTACACTGTACCACCGTATTACATCAATATTTGTCTGAACAATTCGTTTTAATTCATCATCAATTGAAAATATAAATAATTCAGAATTTGGTTTTGATTTTATCTTACAATGTGAACAACAATCTTGATAATGTATCAGTTCCATAAAACATATTGAACAGTAATAAAATCTTTTATACGTAAATGCTACACCAACTTGTTGCCATAAACTATTTGTGGTTTTTGGAATATTATCTATTCCAAATGAACATGTTGATCGTAACAATGCCAATAAGGCTTCTGTTGTTGTTTTATTTAAACAAGCATCACGAATAAAATTCATTAATTGAGATAAAAATTGTATCGGGTAAACATTTTCATAATCAGTCGAAATATTATTTAAATCAAAATCAAATTGATCAATATTTTTTTCAGATAAAAAATCATTTGTATTATTATTTGATTCAGTTTCATCACTAACACTACTGCTATCTATTTAAAAAAAAACAAAGTTGTTACAATTAGAAACTCGAAATTATTAAAAAAAATTTCGTTACCATGTTCAAACTCATTTTCTGAATTCATAACAATATCTTGATCACCTTCATTGTAACAATATTCAAGACCAACGTGTTCAAGTTCATGATTTAATGTCATGGATACATTTTTAGCTTCTTTATTATCAATTTGATTGCCAAAATCATCGTAAATCTGAATATCAGTGTTATTGTTTGCTATCAGAAATATAAAAATACAAACGATCATGAATTGAACAAAAAATATAAAAAAAACTCACATGAGTTTGAAGAAAAATTTTTTTGAACAAATAAACGAGATTTCATTAATATTTTTTGTTTATATCTTGCATTTTGATCTTTTTTCAACCGACGCTCTAATTATAAAGAAAAAAAAATTTATGCATATTAGAAGAAAATCTTAAATTCATGTACGATAGGTGATGAAATGATTATCTTCAGATGAATAGGTGGCACCGGATCGACTCATATTATCAATCAAAATGATTATGTACACGACGAAAAATCAGAAAAAAAAATTATCTAAGAATATAGATAATATATTATTTATAAACTTCAAATATTAATAAAAATTTTTATTAGTTTTTTTTTCGAGAAAAAATCTCAGTATGTAACATTATTATATAT